TAAGAGCCGTTTCTGGCAGCGCACACAACCTCCTTCTTTTAGTTTCTTCTTATTTTTAATTTCAAAGATGGGCCCTCAGTACTCTAACTCAGAACAATTTCCACCTCCAGAAATAAGAGGAGCCTCTGGGGAGTGCTTAGGGTCACCTTTTGGATGGCAGGAAGGGTCAGGGGACCCCTAAGCCCTTAGGCTATTATTGTTCCTAAGGGGAGAGGCTCCTCTGAGAGGCCTGTTGGGGAGCATGGACCTTCCCAGGGACAGTCTGGCCCAGTACAACATGACTTTCCCTACATTCTTTCAGCCCCATGCCCAGGGGACCACATTTAGGGGCACCAAGGATAGGCAGTGTTTCTTGCTGTGTCTTATTTTCCTATCTCTCAAATGGGGCTAATGGTCCCTGCCTCACCTTCTACCCAATGTTGTGAAGGTTGGACAAAATGAGTATGAAAGACTCGTACTCCAGGTCTGCAGGGTCCTGCCGCCCAGGGCAACCCCCAGGCTTGGGAGGAAGGGAAAGGGGGAACTTCACATAGAGGATATGCACAGCCATGGCATGCATACACATGGTTGTGTGCATGCGTGTGTGTGTGCATGCATGCACCTGCACTGCCTGACTTGGGTGCCATCTGTGCACTCCCAGGTAGACAGGGCCTTAAGGCTTGGTGATATGGGTGTGGCAGTGCCTCAGTTGTAAGGCTGCTAGATTTAGCAAATATTTGGGTCACATTTATGCTAAAAATGATTCCTTGCTTATTTGAAAGTCAAATTTTACTACGCATCCTGTGCCTTATCTGGCAACTCTGCTTCCGTGCTCTGGGTGACATGTGTACCTGTGTTGGGCTGGCCACGCACGAGACTGAAATGGTGTGGTTGTGTGGGACTATGACAGAACATCAGTGTGATGGTGACACTCTCACCAGGAGGAGTGAGGCTGTGGGTGACTCTGTGCCTCTCTGTGACACCCTCAGGTTCTAGCAGCTCCCTTAGGGCAGGGTTTGGACTGTTTGCTCTGTGAGGCTCAGCAGGGGTAGGAGACCTGCCCTGGGCAAACAATTAGATCCGCCTTCAGTTGGCACTGTGATGTGAGCCTGTTCTCACCAGCTATCATACTGTAAAGCGCAAGTCCTCTCAAGGCTGTCAGCTCTGGGGGCCTCAGAGTGCTCTGTCCTGGTTCCTTCCAGAGGGGCCTCTGGAACCACCTCTCCACTCTGATGCTTTCTGGTGACATCACATAGGTCATTGATCAGTCTTCTAGAACAGTGCATCCAGGACACTGTCTTGCTGCCCTAGGCACCTGGGAATTTTCTCCACCCAAACTGGCAGGCTGAGTTACCCCTGAGGAGGAGACAAAAGGAGAAGGGGCCAGGGTGTGGCAGTGGGGGCTTTCTCCTCATTTTCTAGAAGGAAGATGGAGGCAACCATCTGTCTGTCCGACTAGATGGTGAGTAGAAGGGAGCACCCAGGGGCCAGTCAAGAGGTGGTGGCCCCTCATTGTCCAGGATACTAGGCAGGGCAGGGGCTGAATCCTGAGGCAGAGAGAGGGTGGTGACTGTGCCCAGGTCACTCCCAGGGTAGTGAAAAGGGTGGCATATAATGGGGAGCAAGCATAGAGCCTTGAGTTTGGAGCTGGGAGACCCTAGGTTCTTATCTCTGCTTTGTCCCTGCTAGTTGAGCCTTTGTTTCTTCATCTGTGTGGTGAGGGGCTGGGACCAGATGACATTATTCAGAGGGTCTTTTGTTTAGATGGGGCCACAGTGGGGGAATTGAGGGGAATGTTAGGTCATGAATAGCTCCAGGCAGGTACCCTGACCCCTGCTCTAACAGCTGCCAGGGGACGGTGAGCCAAAACGACCTCTACCCGCATCCCAGGAGTCACAGTCCTGAGATACTAGGATCCCCATATGGGCTCTGGCTTGTTTTGTGATTCAGCAGTGTCCGTGTACCTCGGGTGGCCTCAACTATCTGTGAGGGACATGTGTTAAGCCCCAGTGCTTGCTCAGCACCCTGGGTAATGATTCCTCACATTCCCATGACCTCTCTCAGTTTGCTAAGCACCTTTTCCTTCTCGTTCCATACCCACTCTGACTCCAGCTTGGTGATGCCCCATTCTGGGAGGCTGGACCCACTTCCTGGGGAGGTACCCTGTGGCTGGGGCAGGGGATTACAAGGGGCGGAGCAGGATCACTCTTTGCCAACTTTTTCCACTGTTAATCTTCTGTGAGAATCTTAACAACCATCATATCAAGATGTTACCTTAACACTTTTTGTTGGAAACTTGCCATTTTTGGACAGTGTATTTTTCCCTATGTACCCTCCCCCCAACCAGTTATATTTTTAGTTACTTATTTTTGCGGTGAAACTGACACATGTACAACTCTTTTTACTGAAGTAATTCTCAGAGAATAGGTATTATTCTAGATGCAGAAACTGAGGCTCAGAGAGAATATGCCACTAGTTCTTGGTCACAGAGCTAGGCAGTGGTGTTGTTAGGATTTGAACGCAGGTTCATAGGCCCTTTGCATTGCCAGGCTATGGGAAGGAGAGAGAGTCCTAGATTGAAGTCCTAGAATTTCTCTCCAGACTCCTTCCCCCAGACTCCCTCTCCCAGCCCTCCTAGGCTCACTCTTCTGCCCTTGAGCAGACAGGGCCCTTCTCTCTGCTGCTTAGGGGTGTTTGAGACAGGATATGAATCTGCTTTGATCCAGCTGTGTTCAGGAGGCCCTCATGAACCCCTGAGTCAGAGATACCTAAATTCTAGGCCAGGTGGAGTGCTTACATGGAAAAGTAATGATGAGTAGGATAGGGAGTGTTGCCCTTCTGCCAACCCACTGGTGAGCTAGCCTGGCCTGAACCCAGGACCCAGGAGTGAGCCCAGGGTACGGCCATCTGAGCATAGAGGTACCAGATCACCTACCTCTTCTGACCCAAGACCCAAAAGATTCATTCTTGGATAATCTGTTTGGAGTTGAGTGATGGTTTGGTTTCTGCCATCTGTTCTTCCCTGAGTTTGTGTCTCCCTCAGACTGGCAGCTTTCTGGAGATGGGGAAGTCCTTCTGTCAGTCTGCCCTTATTGCTACCTCCTTCTATCACCCCAGTGTTATCTCTTTTACCCTGTACTGGGTAACAAGCATAAAAGGTTTACGCCCTAGGGCCTGCTGTCTGCTGATATGTGTGTTATCGAGGCCCTAAGAAGGCAGGAGTCACCAGGACAACGCTCCCATCCCTTTTCCTCATGGCAGGTCCCAGAGGCTATAGGTCACAAAGTAGGCTCTACATACCCGTCTTTGGGTCTCCCACCACTCTAGGTGTGAGGCTGTCAGATAAAACCATTGAGGCTGGCAGAGGAGCAGTGATCTGCCGAAAGTTGGGGTGGAGGCAGAGGAGGTACATAGCAGACAGCCAGAGCCCAGGCCTCCTGAGCCCAAAGCCAGCCCCCCTGTCACCCACTCCATTGTCACTACCCATGCCATTAAAGAATGTGGCATAGAAGGCACAGGGGTGATTATCTGACTATGCCCCACCCACCCCCAGATCCCATCAACCTCATGGGAACCTGCAACTTATTTTACAGGATTTACTTTGCAGAATGCCCCTGGGGTCATTTGCCCTCAGAGCTCCCTGCTCGCCCCCACTCACTTATAAAATTGGGCCTTTTTCACAAACATCTCAGAGTTCTAAGCATTTCAGGAAGAAACACCTCTATTTGTGAACCCACCATGACAACTCATCTTTTTCTAGCACCTTTAAGAAAAGATATTCCATCCCAGAGCTCTAAGATAGTGAGGCTAGGAGGCTATTCCTTCTGACTCCCTCATTCTACAGAATGGAAACTAAGGACCAGAGAGGATGGGGCAGCCAGAGCAGAGAAAGAATCCAGAGGTGGGAGACGGCTGAGACCTGAGCGGCTGTGTACCCATGGTGTGACACTGGGCAAGTGGTTAGGGCTGTTAGCTGCCTATCCGGGTGAGCTTACCACAGGCCCTTCCTGCTACTCTGGGGCCAGGGGCCAGTCACCAGGGTGAGTGAATGCTCAGCCTTGGGCCCTCTGCCACACTCATACTGGCCTGGCCTCAGAGAAGTTGAACCTATTGACCTCAGTTCACACAAAGGGGCTGGAGGCACAGCTGGCACTAGGACCCAGTGGGCAGGTGACAGATTCCCAGGCTGGAAGGGGTGGCTGGAGTGCTGGTGGACAAACCTTCCCCTTGGATATGGAGCTCTGCACAGCTCTGCCTGGGGAGGGACTGGGGAGCCCCAGAGCTTTGGAACCAGATGCTCTTGAGAGCCTAGTCTCGTCCATGGGAGGTGTGTGGACAGATGCATGGGTGCTCAGGGCAAGTGGTGGAGGACAAGGGCTAGAGTCCCAGATTGGAGAGGGGCCTGGTTAAAGCTCCCAGCTGAGGCTGGAGTAGAGATTTTGCCCAGTCTGGCCAGTCTGTGAACCTTGCCGCTAGTGGGTAGGACCAACTTCCGGCTGGGTTTGTGTACTTCACTGGGAATTGCGTTGGATGTGTGTAGGCTTGGTGTACCTTGAGGCTGGTGGGAGGTGAATCTCTGAATTGCTCTTGATTGTGGTGGGAGTGTGTGCCCATATTTGAGTCTCTAGGGTGTCCTGTCGGGGTGGAGGTGGTTCTGGGGACAGCGTGCCTATGTGTTGAGGTGGTTGCAGAGGTGGGCACCTGTGAGTATGGGGGGTGAGGGATGGAGAGAAGGGGCTCACAATTAACTTGCAGAATCCCTCTTCTAGTACTTCATCGCCCCGCCTCTCAGAGCCCTCTGAATCTTGGCCCCTCTCGGATCCATTCCCAGCCCCTGCGGGGGCACCAGTCCCTCCGGGCTGAGTCCCCTCCCTGGGCGGTCAGAGGCGAGCGCTAGGACCCTGCGGGGCGGGGCGGGGCAGGGCTCCGAGCTCTGTCAGCTGTACCTCCGCAGCCTGGAAAATATCGAGCCGGGCAGCGAAGCCCTCGGAGCCCCAGAGCCTAGCCCGGAGGGAGGGAGGGGGCGCGTGGGGAGGGGGAGGCGCGGGGCGGGGCCGGGCGGCTGGACCCACTGCTCCTCCCCCCAGAGCCCCCGCGCCGCCCCGGTCGCCTGGGCAGCGGCGGCGGAGGCTCTTACACCCCTGGCCCCGGCGGGCCCCGGCGTTGCAGCGGGCGCAGGTGAGCGGCCCGGAGGGCGGGCACCCCACCACCCCACCCCACCCCGCCCCCACCACTCGCCCCACGCTCCTCCCGCTCTGGCGCCGCTGCCGAGTTAGTTGAGCGGGTCCGGCCAGCACGCGCAGATCCCCGCCGAGCTGTCGGTCACCTCGGATCCTGGCCTCCCACGAGTCCCGACGGGCTCTCGCGGCGCCCCTGCATCCTATACCCAGCCCCTGTTCCTGCCCCAGGGAGGTCTGGGGTCGTTCCTTCGGGGTGATCACCGTGATTGCCCCGCGCCGGTGCTTTTTCACTAAGGGGCCATCGCCTGCCTATCTCAAACTCTCCACCCGCCCAGGACCCCGGAGAGCCCCACCCGCGCCCGCAGCGCGCTGACTCCCGTCCCCAAACCGGTCTTGCAGGTCCCAGGAAGGTGGCGTCAGCATCTGCGGCCGCGTTGACGTTGTTGGAGCCTTCGCGGAGGACCCAGGAGAGCTGGACTAGGACCAGGGCCCTGGGCCTCCCTATGGAGAAGTCAGCTGCCTCAACAGAGCCCCAAGGGCCTCGGCCAGTCCTGGGCCGCGACAGCGTCCAGGTGCCCGACGACCAGGACTTCCGCAGTTTCAGATCAGAGTGTGAGGCCCAGGCAGGCTGGAATCTGACCTACAGCAAGGCCGGTGTGTCTGTGTGGGTGCAGGCTGTGGAGATGGATCGGACCCTGCACAAGATTAAGGTAGGGTTGCCCAGCCTGCCAGATACAGCCTCCACTGCAGACCTTGCTGTCTCAGAAAGGGAGTCCCCTGGTCCTCCTCAGGTCCACAGGCACCTGGTTGTGCACCCTGGGCTCAGAGAGTCTCCTACCAGGAGCCAGGAGGAGGCAGTTTGCTGGGCTGGTCCCCATCACACAGGTGGGCCAAATGAGTCCTGGAGAGGGGGTGTGACTCACTCAGCCATAACCCAGGCTTCTGCATGGCCCTGACTGTCTAGTGTCTAGATTGGTCTGCCCCGGCCTCTGCCTGGTCCCTGACTTGAGTCATCCCAGGGAGAGATAAAGCCCTTCTCTCCCTCATTTCTGGCCCTCTCAGCCTGAGCTGGGTCTCTCCCCATTCTGCTGCTTTGGATGCCAGGGACCTGATTCCTTCTTGCCTGGGTCCCTGCTTTCCTACCTTCATTTCCTCGCTGCTCCCTGAGACTCCTGCAGGGACTCAGGACTGTGGTTGGCACATCCTGAAGTCAGGGCTTACATGTCTCTACCTTGGAGGTCCAGGCTGGGGGTGAGCTGGGGGAGGAGAGGGCCAGCAGATGCCTGCACATAGCCACCTTGTAGCCAGCAACCCTCTCTTCACAGCCCCATAATTTTCTTCTCTTTGCCATGATAGGGCAGACTTGGGGTTTTGGACCCTATGAACCTACTTCCTTTTGGGGGCTAGTGGGGCTGAGGCTGGTCTAGAGGTCTCAGTAGCTGTCTGCACTACATCTGGCACTGCTGTGGGTGCCACATCCCAAGGGGGCTCCTGGCAAGTAGACTGTGCCTTTCCCTTTCCACAGCACTGCCACAACAACACGTGGAGGAGTGTATTGCTATTGTGAGGAGGGCCAGGGCACAGGACTCAGAGGGCACTCCTCCCCTCCCCCCACTCCTGCCTGGGTTCTGCTCTCAGGTTAGCTGGGGCATCTTGGCCTTGCCCCAGAGTCTGACCTCCCCTCTCTGACCCTATGTCTTTCTGCCTCACTTTGTCTTAATCATTTACAGCTCTGTCCATCTGTCCCACGTGGCCTTCTGGCTTGCCTTCTCTACCTTCTCTTCTCCCCTGTGTGACTCTTCTGTCTGCACCCTGGCTGGCTGGCTCTTTCTTTCTGGGTTTCCAGTGTTTCTCCCTCTGGGACACTCTACCCAGGTCCAAGACCCTGGGCTGAAGGTTTCCTGGGTGCCTGACCTGTGTCTGAGCCTAAGGAGCAGGGGAGGGGAGGGCAGCTGATATGTCCCAGCTTGGTGCTCTCTGAGGGCAGGGACAGGTCCTATCCCACTTTGCATCCCCAGCATCCAACACAGACAGAGCAGGGATATTGGCAGAAGGAAGGAAGAAAGGAAAGGAACAACCTGAATGAAAGGTGAGCATGGTTGTGAAAATAAAGTTGTTTTCCTGACTGACACTGGACAGGCTAAAGGCTGTCAGGGCACAGTGGGATGGGGAAGTACAGTTTCCCCATGGCTGGCTCTCAAGGGGGAGGGAAGGGGAGGAGGGTGTGACCTGAGTCCAGGACTCCTGCCCTCTCTGTCAACAGGGCGGAGCTGCCTCCTCCATCTGGCTTCGTTAATGAATAAAAATGCAGCCCAGTCCAGGACTGGAGTTGGCAGGTCTGGGGGCCAGACTGTCACAACAGACCCCATGTGACCAGATCAGACTTGTCAAGTGGCCTTCCTTGGGGTGGAGGGGACCTGGAAAAACTGGGTGTTGTGGGCTTGTGGTCAGGACATACACCCTCCCCAGCAGCCAGGAATCCCAACCCTCCTTCCCTCTGCCACTGTACAGAGGTTGAAGGTGCCGAAGGGCCGTGGGAATCCCTGGTTCCTGCTCCCTCCTTACTGGGACGAAAGTGAGGACATTGAGGCCCAGAGAGGGGCAGGGCCCACCCAAGGCCATACAGCAAAGTCCCAGCAGAGCTGGACTTAGAATCCAGATCTCCAGCCTCCCAGCCTAACCCTTCTGTTATGCACCCCAGAGTGGAGGGAGACTTGGAGTTAGTAGGTGAGCAGAGCTGGGTCCTAGGGAGGATGCTGAGGCCTTGGTAGTCATCCCATGGAGCCAGCCCCCGACTCCTGATCCCCTCAGCACAGCCAGGTAGAGTTTCTGAACCTGGGCAGAGGTCTCTGAGCTCCCCATCCCCAAGACTGCAGGATTCCCAGGTTCCATGCAGTTAATCCCATTATTCTGAGTCCCCACTCTGAGCCAAGCATTTCTCTCCACCAATTTACCCTCAGGCCAGTCCTGGGCAGTAGTAGGCTTGACTCCATGCTACAAAGAAACTGAGGCTGAGAGGGGTGGCGCCACTGCCTAAGGCCATACAGCAGCTGAGGCAGGAGGGGAACCCAGGCCAGCCTGACTCCAGAACCCTTGCCCCTCTCTGGTTGGGCTCACATCGTTAGTCAACATTATGGCATTTGACCCCATCAATATACTCTTTGAAGGACATGATGTTCTCATTATCCCATTTTTGTTTGATACATGAGAAAGCTAAGGTCCAGAAAGGGGAGTGGCTTGCCAAGGTCACGCAGCAAGTCTGTAGCCAGAGTCCACAGGGATCACAGGGTCACTCCAGGAGCCTGGGACTCAACCACAGGTGTTTGTTGAGCCTCTCCCCCCTCCCCCACTCCCACCCCCTGTTCTGGGCTTACCCCATGAACTGGGAAAGCCAGCTGCCCCTGGACATGCCCTGTGCTCATGATCCTAGGGTAGGGGTGGGGTTCCAACTATCTGTCGGCCTGATTGATTTCCTCATCATCTCCCTTCCCCCAGACTTATCTTCTCCCCGCCACTATGTCCAGAGGTCCCTGGAAGCCACTGTGGCTCTGGGCCCAGAATTCAGAGCTAAGACAAAGGGAAGGGGCTGCTGGAGGCCATCTGTGCCCTTTCACTCCCTCCTGGCCTCCACCGTGGCCTGGCCCCAAGCTGCAGTGTGCTCTGGGCACTGGAGAGGAGGCCGGCAGCCAGGGCTTGTCCCAGAGGCAAATGCTGAACACAGACCCTGGGTCCAAGGTGGAGGGCAGCTTGGAGCGAGGCCTCCCCATGGCTCCTGTGGTGGCATGAGAAATACAGAGCCAGGGAGTCTGTCGGTCATTTCAAGCAGGGCCAGCTGGGGTCCAGTCCTGGCTGTGGTATCCTCTTCTGTGTATGTGACCATGGGCACGCCCCTGCTCTTCTCTGGGCTGTTTTCCCATCTGCTATGGGACTGTCCTGGCTCCAGGAGCCTCTGAGCTCAATACCTATGCAGGAGCCTGTGAGAGGGGAATGAGGAATGGGGGACAGAAAGCAGAAGGTGCCATGGCCTGCCAAGCCCTGCCCCCAATGCTCACGTGCTCAGACTCTCCTGTGCCGCTGCCTGCCTAGCCTTGTGCTTGGCTAGCTATGAGAGAGGCAGAAGGGGAGACCTGGCTCCTGTCCTCAGAGGTTTCCAGTGCCTGGTGGAGATAGGATGGACAGTTCCACGTGAGCCCTGCCCACTACACAGGGCAGATGTTCACAAGGAGATCACAGACGCAGGAGTGGGCTCCATGGGCAGGGAACTTGAGGGGCTTGGCAGCTGGAGCAGGGCTAGGAGTCTCTTGGGGGAGTATGGTTGAAAACCTGAGGTTCCTCTTGCCTTAGAAAGCTGGGCAGTGGAAACCTGTCTTCTCTGAATTCCTGTCCTCTGGCTCCTTCCCTTCCCATACAGAGAAAGCTTTACTGCCCCTCCTTGCCCTGTCTCACTGTCCTGGAGCTCCCACACCACAGGACCCCTAGGTTCCAAGTTCTCAGGCTTGTCCCCTCTCAGAGCCTCATTCTCTCCCACCATGAAATGTGGGGTCATCTCAGGGATCTCCAAGGGATCTTCTCACTTTTAATAGTCAGTGAAACTCAGAGGGTCATGGAGATGGTGGGGGTGTGGGCAGTGTTTTCTCTATGCCTTCTCACTGAGTCTTCACAATTGTCCTGTGGCATGGGTCTTACTGACACCATTGAACAGATGTGGAAACTGAGGCTCCAAGCAGGAATTCACATGTGTAAGGCCAAACAGCCAGAGGTGGCTGACGCAGGATCAGAACGCAGATCCTTGGGTCTCCAAGGCTGAGTGCCCTCTGTTCCCTTGAGCCTACTCTTTTGAGCACCGTTAGACAGAAGGCCGCCTCTAGGACCCCATGGCTCACAGCTTACTCCTCTCTTCTGCCTTGTGTCTCTCTATGCCGTGTCATTGTGGGAGGGCACCCTGGAGGGGATCTGGCTGAGCAAGAGCCCATTTCTGGCTGTGTGACCTTTCCAAGGCAGGCTGCTTTTCTGGTGGCAGGGGCATGAGTTAATCTGGTTTTAGGGCCTTGAACATTGGTGAGTCAGACTCAGGGTGGGCCTCAGCCCCATTTGGGTTCAGTTTGCCTGTCTCTACAGGAAGCTGCTGGACAGGTAGTGTGTAGAAGCTACTATTGCCTTAGGCCATGGTAGAGGGGCCTTCACAGCTGGACACAGAGTAAGGATGAAGAGCTAAAGCCTTCCCAGTCTGTGCCATCACAGAGGTCCCTAGGTGGGGCACCTGACCCCAGGGCCCTGAGGACCATCCTGACTGGCTCTAGCTCTGACTTGGTCTGGGGCAATTGGGAAAGTAGTGTCAGAGCTGTCTTCAGGGAACAGGCTTCCAGAGGGCATGGCTCCAGGTAGTCAGGGTCTGGGCCTTCAGGTTGGGGAGCTCAGAGGATGGAAGATCAGAGCTCAGAGGATGGAAGATCAGAGGTCTTCCCAGAAGAGGTGCCTGGTTGGGCTGTGGCTGCAGGGGAGAGAGCACAGGGTCCAGAGTCCCAGCCACATGGCTTTGGGCAGGTTACTGCCCCTGCCCAGGCTTAATTTTCCTCATCTATCAAATGTGGGTAGTAGTGCTGCCCTGCCTGTCTTCAGTCACTTCATTCATTCATTAGCCCATTTAACTAATGGACTCTCTGCCTGGCTCTGTGCTGGATGTTAGGGACAGATAGGGGAATCAAAGCCA